CAGTTACCTGTTGTCCCCAAGCGTGTACCCCTGAATCATGGTTCTGGTATCCTTAGACGCAACTGCACTTGATATAAGTGTCTTTATACACTGGTTGGTGTGGCAAGGCTCATAATCATATGGAGTTCACTACTCTGCCCTGCCTGTGATGACACAATCTTGTTGCCTGGGTTCACCTACCAAACAGTGAGAGCCTTCAAAGTACAGCAGGGTAGAGAGGCAAGGATATTTCACTCATAGGCTGAAACCAGGCTACCAGTTATCCATATCCTGCTTAGGCTTCTTGTTAGCTGTGTGCTCTGACAGCACTTGTATCAAATGTCCATTCTCTATAAAATGAAAATGAAGGGTGCCTTAAATCAGGGCTGATGTGTGAATTACATGAGTTAATATATATAAAATGTTTCTAATAATTTCTGGTATTCAGTCAGTGCTATACAAGCACTATACAAGTATTTGTGGTTATGATTATTAAAGAACGGAAGAGTTCTCATGGTGAATTTTTTTTTCAGTAAGATTTTTTAAAGAGTATTTATTTATTTAAAGATTTTATTTATTTATTTGACAGTGAGAGACACAACAATAGAGGAAACACAAGGTGGGGAGTGGGAGAGGGAGAAGCGGGCTTCTCACCACATAGGGAGCCTGAATCGGGGCTTGATCCTAGGACCCTGGGATCACGACCTGAGTCAAAGTCAGACGCTTAATGACTGGATGACCCAGGTGCCCCCTTTTAAAGACTTTTTAAAGAACAGTTAAATGTTCACAGAAAAAATGAGGGGAAGGTATAGAGATTTCCCATTTATCTCCTGCCCCACAGATGCATAGCCTTCCCCACCAAAATTCCCCACCAGGTGGTACATTTATTATAATTGATGAACCTACATTGAAACATCATAATTATTTAGAGTTTATAGCTAACATTTTGATCCGATCTTAGTATTGCACATTCCATGGATTTGGACAAATGTGTAATGGCATATATCCATCAGTCTGATATCTAAAGAATATTTTAATTGACCTAAAAATCCTTACATTAATTAATTTTTGAATGTTGAACCAGCCTCATATATCTGAGATAAATCCCACTTGGTCTTATTATATTAATCTTTTTATAGATTGTTGGATTCAATTTACTAATATTATTTGAGGATATTTGTGTCTATGTTCATCAGAAGTATTGGTTTATAGTTTTTTTCTTGCAATGTCTTTGTATGGTTTTTGGTATTAGGGCAATACTGACCTCCTAGAATGAGTTAGGAAATATTCCCTCTTTTTCTATCCTCTGAAAGAGATTGTAGAGAATTGGTATAATTTCTCCCTTAAATTTTTTGGTGTAAGATTCACCAGGAACCTGTTTGGGCCAGATGCTTTCTGTTTTAGAAGGTTATTTAATATTGATTCAGTTTCTTTAATAAACTTTACTATTTATTTTGTCTGTTTCTTCTTGTGTGAGTTTTGGCAAATTGTGTCTTTAAGGAATTGGTCCATTTCATCTAGGTTATCAAATTTGAGAGCATAGAGTTGTTGAAAGTATTCCTTTATATCTTTTTAATGTCCATAGGATCTGTAATGATGTTCTCTCTTTCATTTCTAATGTTAGTGATTTATGTTATTTCATCTTTTTTTTCTTAGCCTGACTAGAGACTTATGAATTTTATTGATCTTTTCAAATAATCAGATTTTGGTACATTGATTTTCTGTGTTGATTTCCTGTTTTTAGTTTCTTTAGTTTCTGCTGTAATTCATCATGATGTTTCTTTTATAACTTAACTAGAGTTACTAGATTCCTGGGGAGATATCTTCTCATTTTTTCTTTCAATCACTTTGGACAAATAACATAACTTCTCTGTGACTTGATTTCTTTATCTACAATTTGGTTAGAATTTGGTTCAATTAATAGTGTGTTAAGGAGGGCATGTATTGCATGGGGCACTGGGTGCGGTGCATAAACAATGAATCATGGAACACTGAAAAAATAAAATTAATTAAAAAAAGAATTTATAATAAAAGTCATTGTTCCTACTACCATTTAGATGAAATAGTTGTCTTGTGCAGCAAAACCTCTCTTATTCATGAGTTACATTCACAGTACTAGGAACCCTGTATATAGGAGAAAGTGTGAAATCTGACTTCATGTGCTTACACAATCAGTTATCATACTGAGCCCATGGAGAAGGATCTCAATGGATTATTTGGAAGCTCTGTTCATTCCCATTTTTCCAGATAATAACTCCACGCTTATAATTCCATATAATAACAACATAATGTGCTTGGTATAATTTGAAGAATTTTGGATCAATATAATTTGTGACTTCCCATTAACTTTAATGCACTATTTCTTTTTTAGGGCATTTAGGTAACAGTGAACATATCCAAGTTTTATAGGTATCATATTTGAGACTTAAATTATGCTTAAAGTTTGCCTCCTCTTGCTCAAATTCCAGTCTAGTTTTATTGTATTAGCTTCTGTATACAAATTATGAGGCTCAGGTATCAGTAACCTGGAAAAAATACAAGACTAAAGATATGGTTCAGAAGTTACATTTTTATTATAATAAGGAATTTATTTCAGGTTCAAATTTTATGGAAGTTTTTATTAAAGTATGTTTGGAAAATTCATTTTCACTTCATACTAGTGTGCTAAGATCTTCAAGTTTCAAAATATAAATGAAATAACTATCATATACCCAGTTTATCAGAATCCTGAATATGTACCTTATGATCTTATGTAGAGAAGTGTGACAAAAATATATTTCAGATAATAAAATAGATTTTATGGATTTAAATATATATGTCATAACAACATGACACTTTACTATTGTATTTTAGCTTATTTTACCTATAAGTAGCTGGTATTTAATAAAACAAAAAATTTTTTTTACAAGTTCAGTTTTTGCAGTTATAACCTTTCTGTGTGGTTGATCTTGATACTACTAAACTTTTGGATATAATGAGATGATTACAAAGTAATCATTCAATTCCAGCTAGACAATTCTGTTTCTTTCACCTTTATCACAGGTTTTTTTTTAATATTGTGTTTAATAAATCTTCAGATTCCTTTTTAAATTATGAAAGTGAGACAAAAAGAGCACACTGGTAAGAGTTACTCCAATTCAGAGTAGGCTCTGAATCCAATGGATGGCTGTTTGGTACCTGGATTTTAGACCTCCAGCTGTGACCCACCTGGTTCAAAGGCCAAGTTGGGCAGTGTTCTATACAAAAAGACAGGAACATCTAGGATGACCATTCCAAAAAATGTCGTCCAGGTCCTAAATTTCCTACTATTATTTTTTAAGATTTTATTTATTTATTTGACAGAGAGATAGAGAGCACAAGTAGTCAGAGAGGCAGGGAGAGGGAGAAGCAGGCTCTCCACTGAGCAGGGAGACCGATGTGGGACTTGATCCCTGGACCCTGGGATCATGACCTGAGCTGAACACAGCTGCTTAACCGACTGAGCCACCCAGGCACCCCCTAAATTTCCTACTATTAAGATAACTGTTGTGTTTATAAAAATATATTGACATTCATTTTTCAGGATGAGGTAGAATCTTGAAAAGCCAGTGTGGGAGGATAGAGAGATAAGAAATGCGTGTTCCCATTTTACAGTTTGCTTAGGCTGACTCTGTTGTGCAGCCCATTCTGTGTTAGGTACACTGTGCTTGGCGTATGCTATAGAGCTCATCAATATATACCAAAGGTCATTGTTTATGTGTTCTACCTCTGGGCTGTAACCTCATCAATGTCAAAGTCACGTGTTATGCATTGATTTATTCTTATGCTTCTGGCAGTGCCTGTGAGAGAGATTATTTTCTCTTTGTAAATCCTGGATTTCTACATTATTTGTAGATAATGTAGTCCCTTGATTATGGGTCCCTTAATGGACTATAAGAAAATGGTGGCTGAATTATATTTAGGAATCGTTTTTATTCTTTCCTCTTTAAGTGTTCATTTACCCTCAGTGGACACATTTCTAGTTATTTCTGATCTTTTAAATATTTTAAAGTTCCTTTATTAGGAACTAAGCAATGTCTAAGCGTTGCATTGTAGATAAGCCATGTCGAGAAACACGTTTTACAGAGTTTGGTGTTCAAAAGATTATTATTGTCTGAGATTACATAATATCAAATAATTATAAGGATCTCTCTCTCTCTCTCTGGATATATATATGACAATATTATCACAGGCAGTTCTTTAGACACCAGTGTTGTATAGTCATTGCCATCACTCTATATGATTAAGTGTTGATTTCTGTTAACCATAGTTATGAGATCATCATGCCTTCTGATGCTAACATACATTTCATGGGTCATCTGAAATTATTGACTGCAATTATGATATTAAGAAGTAGCTGCTATTATTTATTATTACATAAAATCAGACATCAATATAATTTTTGTTGCTGATGAGGTTTGTAACTATGGCTGAACCCTAAGAAGGAAACACAAACAACTTAAACTGTGAATCATTAGAGTCATTATTCAGGTAGGCTGGAGATATCTATTCCTGAACAAAATACCAAAACACTTGTTTCTAAATAAAAGGCAGAAAAATAGATAATGTTTTCTTCATTTATATGTATATTTCCTTGATTTTCATATTTCAGTAAGGTAATGTAAAATGTTGTTTGAGTGATGTTTTAATCAGTTTCCCCTTCCAAGGAAGGCAAAGTACCAGATTATCAAAGGAGTTTCTGTTTAGAATCTATAAGAAAAACATCTTGAATAAGTTATTTGATTCATACTGTGGTGTTAAATTATTGCTTGAATTTACAAGGCAGTGAATAGATTTTATAGGAATACCATTCATGCACAGCCTGCTGCTAAGAATAAAAAGTCATTTTCTGGTAACTATGTAATGCAGAGTGAAAAGATTTGACTAGGCATTGAAATGGAGACAATAGCAAAACTTAAACTGCATAGCTGAACATATGGTGAATTTTCTGAGAAGAAGCAAGTGATTTTGAGAGGATTGCATCTTTAAAATCTTAATTTCAGTTGGCAGAGAAAACCCAATGGGTATGTCAGCAACACCCAGCCAAGAGGAGGAAAAAGTCCATGAGTCAAAAAACCAGCAAGAAACACTACCAGAATCTGAGGCCAAGTGTTCCTTACTTTCTTCAGCTGCAAGTAAGCAAGTTTTTTCCCCTTTCTTTTGATTTGTCTGCATTGATTCTTTGTGGCCACCTCAGGAAAAACATCAAATTATTTTTAATGTATACGGTATATTATTGCCCATGAATTTGCTTTTAAGCTGTTACCTTGCTTTTTTATGCAAAGAATACATGTATAGGGGTGCCTGGGTGGCTCAGTTAGTTGAGCATCCGACTCTTGATTTCAGCTCAGGTCATGATCTCAGGGTCATGAGATTGAGCCCTGTGAAGGGCTCTGTGCTCAGCAGGGAGTCTGCTTGAGATTCTTCCCTCTGTCCCTCCTCCTCCTTGGGGTCGTGTGCTTGCTCTTTCTCTTAAATAAATAAATAAAATCTTTAAAGAAAGAACACATATATATTAAAATATGTTTATTTCTTTAGCTTGAATTCAATGACTCTAGAACAATGACTTGGTAAGAAGAAATTATTAAATTATGGCATCATATTTGGACTATCACATACAAAATATTTTGTGAATATATTTTTTGAATAATAGCAAATTCTCACCAGAGTCTAAGTAAAAACAAAAAATAATCTGTTTCTCCGATGCAGAAACTGAGGCATGAATAAGGTGCTGTAGGCCTCAGAGGTTTGAATTTTTAGTTTCCATCTTTTAGTCTGTTCATTTTCTTTCTCTTAAATGCATTGCTTTCTCTCTGGGAAGTATAACGAATGATATCTAACAAATTCTGTGCATCAGAATTTAGTAATATTTAGGTAAAATGAAATATTGGACCACTGTCTCTGGACCATTTTTGAAAAAAAAATTTTGAGAGACAGATAAATTATAATGTTACCTTTCAAAACGTGCTTTTTGAAAATTAGTAATTGGGTATGCTCTCTTTTCTTTCAGATAGTAACAGAAAATAGATGTCTCTTGATGACAACCTTATGATACTATCACATCAACCAGAGGGAAGAGAAATTAGCCTTTTGATTCTTGCTGCATTGGACCAGGCCCAGTTTTATATTTCTATGGAACAGTGTGACAAATCACACTGCATGAGAAACATGTGCTTAGTTAACATTTTTCACAGAAGGAAAACTCAATCTTGTGTCAGGAAGTAATGGCACCTAAATCTGGGATGGCCACCTCAAGTAAAATTTGACTTGGTTGAAAATAACATACTAACTGAAATTCCTAGAAATAGACACTTTTTATGAGTAACAAACTGCTAAAGAGGAAATCTTCTATATATCCTATGAATATTTGTCTGTTCTGGCAAAAAAAATCTTTAAAATGTTACCATTGTTAGATGTTTTTACATTTAAGTTGTATCATATGTTGATTTAATATATTTATATATTGTGCTATGCAACATATATGCAAGAATGCACCTCTATCATAGCACATACTTGTATTTCTTTTTTGTAATGGGAATAATTGAGATCTAGTCTCCTAGCAAGTTTGATGTTTATAATACAATGTTGTCACCTATAATCACTCTACTGTACATTAGATCTTTAGGTCTTATTTACCTACTAGTTGCAAGTTTGTATCCTTAAACATCTCTTCTATTCTGACCCCTGACCCTCAAGCCCTTGGTAGCCACCATTTTGCTTTCTGTTTTTATAAGTTGAGCTTTTTTTGGTTCCACATATAAGTTATATCATATAGTATTTGTCTTTGTCTGATTTATCTCATTTAGCATAATTTTCTCAAGGTCTATCCATGTTGTTGCAAATGATAGGATTTCTTTCTTTCTCATGGGTTTCAGATCTTCTTTATCTATTCATCTGTCAACGGGCACCTAGATTGTTTCCTTATATTGCGTACTATGAATAATGCTGCAATAAACCTGGAAATGCATATATTTCTTCAATATTATGTTTTCATTTCCTTTGCATACATACTGAGAAATGGAGTTGGTGAATAATATGGTAGTTCTATTTTTAATTTTTGACCAGTCTCCATACTGTTTGCCATAGTGGTGCTACCAATTTAAACATTCCCATCAACAGTGCCTGAGAGTTCCCTTTTCTCTATATCCTCACCAACACTTAATGTCTTGTCTTCTTTTTTTTTTTCATTTTATTCTTGATAATAGCCATTCTTACTGGTATGAATTGATATCTCATTGTCTTGATTTGCATTTTCCTGATGATTAGTGATATTGAGCATCTTTTTATATACCTGCTGGCCATTTGGGTATCTTTTCTGGAAGAAATATCTATTTATTCTTCTTTTACTTTTGTAATCAGATTGTTTTTCTGTTATTGAGTTCTATCAGTTCTTTATATGTTTTGGATCTTACCGCCATTTTTGATACCATTGTTAAATTTTTAAGGATTGGAAAGTATACATTTTAGAATGAGGCTGGAAAAATGATAAAATTAGGCCTCATGATAAATATAAACCTTTTCAAATCATTCTTTCATGTAATAAATTACAAGAAATGTATTGCCTCCTAAATGTCAGATGTAAAGAAATAGAGTGAGGGCAAAAAGGACTTGGTCTCTGACTTCTTGAAGTTTACGCACTAGTGAACCAGATAAGTATTAATCACACAAAATTAAAAGTTTAAAAACTGATAAATGAGATGTGGGAAACATTCAAGGCATGTTAGACAAAAATAAAATTTAAGTTATTAATTATAAAAAGACTTGGAAGTCCTTTTTAAAAAAGTTTTTATTTAGTTAACATACAGTATAATATCAGGTTCATGTGTACAATATATTGGTTCAACATGTCCATACGACACCTGGTGCTTGTCATAACAAGTGTACTCCTCTGATAAAGGGTTAGTATCCCAAGCATATAAACAACTTATAAAACTCAACACCCCAAAAATGAATAATACAATTAAAAAATGGGCAGAATAGATGAATAGACATATTTCCAAAGAAGACAAAGAGATGGCCAACAGACACATGAAAAGATGCTCAACATCATTCATCATCAGGGAAATACAAATCAAATTACAATGAGATATAATCTCATACATTGTCAGAAAGGCTAAAATCAACAATGCAAAAAATGATGGGTATTGGCAAGGGTGTGGAGAAAGGGGAACCCTCTTACACTGTTGGTGGGAATGCAAACTGCTGTAGCCACTCTGACGAACATTATGGAAGTTCCTTAAAAAGTTAAAAATAAAGCTACCCTGTGATCCAGCAATTACACTACTAGTTATTTACTCAAAGGATGCAAAAATACAGATTCAAAGGGTCACATGCACCCCAGTGTTTACAGCAGCATTATCAATAGCCGAACTATGGGAAGAAGTGTCCATCAACTAATGAATGGTTAAATACATGAGATATCTATCCATCTATCTATCTATCTATCTATCAATCATCTATCTATCTATGTATCTATCATCTATCTATCATCATCATCATCATCTATCTATATCAAAATATTACTCAGCCATAAAAAAGAATGAAATCTTGTCATCTGTGATGACATGGGTGAAACTAGAGAGTACTATGCTAAACGACGTAAGTCAGTTAGAGAAAGACAAATACCATATGATTTCACCCATATATGGAATTTCAGAAATAAATGAGTAAAGGGGGGAAAAAAAGAGAGAGAGGCAAACCAAAAATAGACTCAACTATAGAGAACAAACTGATGATTACCAGAATGGAGGTGGTGGGGGGATGGGTTAAATAGGTGTAGGTCCTTTGTTGTAGTTAATGGTAATATAGTAGAAATGGAGAGTGGGTCAAGGACTGAGAATAGGGAGACTGAGCTTAATTTGTTAATGAGCTGCTTAAATCATTGACATAACACAGACTTTGGACTTGGACATGAAATCCTGGAAATTCAGATGATAAAGCTTTCCTAATGCAAATGCCATCTACAAAATCTCTATGATTTGTTTAATGTTGTTTTCTATGTAGTGGAAATGGCTTTTATACATCCATGACTTTAGATGGGAAAAAATATCTTCATATATGAATATTACCTAGAAGGTTCCCATTCATTACTCAGTAATTAGATCATGACTCTATTTAGTTGTCTTCTACCTCTCAAACATCTGCAGGAGTTAAAAGTTATTTCTTGTCAGAAATACATTCCTCTTGGTTTTGCAATTTAGCTGTCATACTGAATAGATTTGGGTTACATTAGCCATTCATATTAAAATACATGTTCATTGAAAAATACTTTAAAAAATTTATTTCATATTTTAAAAAATATCAAAAACAACTCTCAGCTCCTGAGATTATGTTTGCCAGTCTACTTTCAGGATAGGGCAAGATATATATAGTTGGGGGATTAGGTAATACAGAAAAAATAAGCCTGTTCTCTGTATTCAAAACTCCTGTTTATTAAAAAAAAGTGGATGTTTTTCTTGTCAAGAGACAAAGATTTAGAGCTTATAAAACTACATATACAATAAATAATGCTTTGGTAGTAGTAAATAGAATTGTAGGGCCATTCTATTTGCAAGCTCTTCCTTTAGGGCTAAGTTGAATTTTAATATTAGTTTTGTTAGAGAACTGGGTTTTGAGGAAGAAATTTTACTTTTTACAAAAAGAATAAAATAATGAATTTCAATGTGTCCACTTGCCCAGCTTCAACAACTATCAACATATGACTAATTTTTTTAAAGTTTTATTTATTTTAGGGGCACCTGGGTTGCTCAGTCAGTTAAGCACCTGCCTTTGGTTCAGGTTGTGATCTTTAGGTCTGGGATTGAGGCCCATATCAGGCTCCCTGCTCTCTGCTTCTCTCTCTCTCCCCCTGTCTTCCCCTCTGCACCACTTGTTCTCTCTCTCTTTCTCTCTCTCAAATAAATAAAATCTTTAAAAAAATATTTATTTATTTTGGACACAGAGCATGAGAAATAGGGGCAGAGGAAGAAGAAGAGAGACTCTGAAGCAGACTCTGTGCAGAGCATGGAGCCTGACATAGGGTTCAATTCCATGACCCTGAGGTTACAACCTGAGCTGAAACCAAGAGTGGGCCACTTAACCAACTGTGCCACCCAGGCACCACTGTGACTTCTTATTTTTATGAATGAGAAAACTG